ATACAGTAAACAGAACTAGATATTCAACACAATGTATTAAATATATTATATAATACAATCATAAAAAATCAATACAGACTACTTATAATACAATACAAGCTACATATAATACAATACGAGGCTTAATTATTCAATACAACGCATGAGAATACATTTTACGATACATTCAATAAAATTATCGGTACAAAATAAATACAACAAACGGAAAATACACTAATACAATACGCCAGACAATACACGGGAACAATATATCGATACAATACACAGGACACACAATATATCATACAATAGTTCAATAATACATTAAACAGGATAATGCATGAAATAAAACCATACAAACTGCAGGACAAAATACAAAAAACAACAATCAATACAAAAAACAACAATCATTACAATACATTAACAGGACGATACAATACAGGCAACTCTACAATACGTTCAACAATGAAATACATGAAACCAATAGAATACATGGAACAGTGTAACACATGGAGCATTGTAATACATGGAACAGTGTAATACATGGAGCATTGTAATACATGGAGCAGTGTTATACATGGAGCATTGTAATACATGGAGCAGTGTTATACATGGAGCATTGTAATACATGGAGCAGTGTTATACATGGAGCATTGTAATACATGGAGCAGTGTTATACATGGAGCATTGTAATACATGGAGCAGTGTTATACATGGAAGAAACCAACACACAGGGAACATTCCAATACAATAAAAATACAGTACTTGTATTACAATAAGAACAAGGGTACATGGGACAATACAGTACAATACACCAGATAATATATCACAATACGTGTATGAACAACACAATAGTTCATGAGAATGCAGTGCAATACATGGACAATTATAATACAATCATGGGACGATCAATACAATACACGGGTCGATACAATACATGAAGCAATACAATATGTGGGACAATACAATACTTGGGACAATACAATACCTGGGACAATAGAATACAATACATGAAACAATACAATATTTGGGACAATACAATACTTGGGACAATACAATACTTGGGACAATACAATATATGAAACAATACAATACTTGGGACAATACAATACCTGGGACAATGCCTTACTTGGGACAATACAATACTTGGGACAATACAATATATGAAACAATACAATACCTGGGACAATACAATATATGAAACAATATAATACTGGGGCAATACAATACTTGGGACAATACAATACTTGGGACAATACAATACCTGGGACAATGCCTTACTTGGGACAATAAAATACTTGGGACAATACAATATATGAAACAATATAATACTGGGGCAATACAATACTTGGGACAATACAATACTTGAGACAATACAATACCTGGGACAATGCCTTACTTGGGACAATACAATACGTGGGACAATACAATATATGAAACAATACAATAGTTGGGGCAATACAATACTTGGACAATACAATACTTGGACAATACAATACTTGGGACAATACAATATATGAAACAATACAATACCTGGGACAATGCCTTACTTGGGACAATACAATACTTGGGACAATACAATATATGAAACAATACAATACCTGGGACAATACAATACTTGAAACAATACAATACTTGGGACAATACAATACTTGAAACAATACAATACTTGGGACAATACAATACATGAAACAATACAATACCTGGGACAATGCCTTACTTGGGACAATACAATACTTGGGACAATACAATACTTGGGACAATACAATACTTGGGACAATACAATACCTGGGACAATGCCTTACTTGGGACAATACAATACTTGGGACAATACAATACTTGGGACAATACAATACTTGGGACAATACAATACTTGGGACAATGCCTTACTTGGGACAATACAATACTTGGGACAATGCCTTACTTGGGACAATACAATACTTGGGACAATACAATACTTGGGACAATGCCTTACTTGGGACAATACAATATTTGGGACAATGCCTTACTTGGGACAATACAATACATGAAACAATACAATACCTGGGACAATGCCTTACTTGGGACAATACAATATATGAAACAATATAATACTGGGGCAATACAATACTTGGGACAATACAATACTTGGGACAATACAATACCTGGGACAATGCCTTACTTGGGACAATACAATACCTGGGACAATGCCTTACTTGGGGCAATACAATACTTGGGACAATACAATACCTGGGACAATACAATACCTGGGCAATGCCTTACTTGGGACAATACAATACCTGGGACAATGCCTTACTTGGGACAATGCCTTACTTGGGACAATACAATACCTGGGACAATACAATATATGAAACAATATAATACTGGGGCAATACAATACTTGGGACAATACAATACTTGGGACAATACAATACCTGGGACAATGCCTTACTTGGGACAATACAATATATGAAACAATATAATACTGGGGCAATACAATACTTGGGACAATACAATACTTGAGACAATACAATACCTGGGACAATGCCTTACTTGGGACAATACAATACTTGGGACAATACAATATATGAAACAATACAATAGTTGGGGCAATACAATACTTGGACAATACAATACTTGGACAATACAATACTTGGGACAATACAATACATGAAACAATACAATACTTGGGACAATACAATACCTGGACAATACAATACTTGAAACAATACAATACTTGGGGCAATACAATATTTGAGACAATATAATTCCTGGGACAATACAATACTTGGGACAATACAATACCTGGACAATACAATACTTGAAACAATACAGTATATGAAACAATACAATACTTGGGACAATACAATACCTGGACAATACAATACTTGAAACAATACAATATATGAAACAATACAATACTTGGGACAATACAATACTTGGGACAATACAATATATGAAACAATACAATTCTTGGGACAATTCAATACATGAAACAATACAATACTTGGGACAATACAATACTTGGGACAATACAATACTTGGGACAATACAATACTTGGGACAATACAATACATGAAACAATACAATACTTGGGACAATACAATACTTGGGACAATACAATACATGAAACAATACAATACTTGGAACAATACAATACTTGGAACAATACAATACATGAAACAATACAATACTTGGAACAATACAATACTTGGGACAATACAATACTTGGGACAATACAATACTTGGGACAATACAATACATGAAACAATACAATACTTGGAACAATACAATACTTGGAACAATACAATACTTGAGACAATACAATACTTGAGACAATACAATACTTGGGACAATACAATACTTGGAACAATACAATACTTGAGACAATACAATACTTGGGACAATACAATACTTGGAACAATACAATACTTGGAACAATACAATACTTGGACAATACAATACTTGGGACAATACAATACTTGGAACAATACAATACTTGGAACAATACAATACTTGGAACAATACAATACTTGGAACAATACAATACTTGAGACAATACAATACTTGGGACAATACAATACTTGGAACAATACAATACTTGGAACAATACAATACTTGGGACAATACAATACTTGGGACAATACAATACTTGAAACAATACAATACTTGGGACAATACAATACTTGGACAATACAATACATGAATGTGTGTCTGTAGTCTCAGTGCAATTTGGTAGCCATCTTGACCGCCACATTCACTCCTTTAGATTACCAATTAAATATATTTCAATGTATTTCTATTCAGGATCTTTTAACCCTTTCGAAAATACTGTAGCTATACTTTACACGTATATGACTACACGTTTATGATACTGTACCTGTATAGGAATTATTGTACCTGTAATTAAGACCATAATATTTACCTGTACTGATATTCTTCGTAATTAACATTCTAGTTTAGGATAATCATTATGTTATTTGAATCGTGATAATTTCCTTTTTTAATTACTCTATAACTGCAATAATCCTGTAAGCACCTGTTATGACCTCACCTATATATTGTTATACACACTGATCACTACGATATACGGATACACTATACGATATATAAAGCCTACGGTGATCAAGAAGGAAACTTTATAGTACTGCAATCGAACGTAAAGTTAAGTCTAGGTGGACTTAAACTTTCGGATAAGAGGCGAGTGTTGCATCTAGTCAGGAGTGTTATTACTGTCATATCCGGACTAACTATGTCACGAGAGAAAGTAAGACAAGGGAAAGTATATAATGTAGATGACTTGCACAATGTAATGCGTAGATTGGGGAAAAGTAGATGAGTCACACAATGTAATGAATGACTGAAGTAGACCACAATATAACGACTACGATTTTCCATAAAGACGACAGTTGAGGAGCGAGGAAAGTCTGATAATGTAGAGAGTTAAAATGTTCCTCAGGGTTTTTTTTTTTAGGTGGCAGGGGAAGAAATTTTTTAGAATAGTGGGCTTTTGATAAATCCCTCCTTATACTCGTGTTTACATTTGAATATTTAGGATATAAAACAAATGGTTGATTCTATAGAGAAGAGTTAATACCACACAAGCTTCCAGCGGCCTACAACAGGTAAGGTGGCGGCGGTAACACACGGGCCTCCTAAGGTTACTAATTCAACTATCACAGAGTAAACGATCTAAGCTCCTCGGTGTACTAAGAAAAGACCACATCAATACCATTACAGAAATTCTCAAATTTCCTTAGAAAACAACTACCAACTCCTGCCATTACCAAACTGCCATCATCATCATCATCATCATCATAGAGTACTATCTAGGGCCTAGGTCTTCTGCCTAAGTGGTCCTCTTGATGAAGCAGTAACAGCAATACCAACAGCTCCAGCAGAGAGAAAGTGAAGAGATAACAAAAAAGCGTGCAGTAAAACGCATGGTAGAGCACGCAGGGGGCCATGAAGCAACGACGGAGCGGGGGATGTTTTACCGCGGGTGTTTTAGTTAGCTCTTTACTTTCTCTCTACTGTTCCTGATGCTGTTCCTGGTGCTGTTCCTGATGCTGTTCCTGGTGCTGTTCCTGGTGCTGTTCCTGATGCTGTTCCTGGGGCTGTTCCTGGTGCTGTTCCTGGTACTGTTGCTGGTGCTGTTCCCGGTACTGTTCCTGATGCTGTTGCCTGTTCCTGACTGTTCCTGGTGCTGTTCTGATGTTGTTCCTGGTGCTGTTCTGGTACTGTTCCTGGTGCTGTTCCCGGTACCGTTCCTAATGCTGTTGCTGGTGCTGCTCCTGATGCTGTTGCTGATGCTGGTGCTGTTCCTGATGTTGTTTCCGGTACTGTTCCTGATGCTGTTGCTGGTGCTGGTGCTGTTCCTGATGCTGTTCCTGGTGCTGACTCTACCAGGCTTTCCTCGCTTCTCAAATGTCGTCTTTATGGAAACTCGTAGACTTTTTCTTGTGGTCTACTTGAGTCAGTCTTTCATTACATTGTGAAACTCATCTACATTTTACTTTCTCTTGTCTTACTTTCTCTCGTGACCTACTGTGTCAAGATGTGGCACTAACCTAACCTAACCTTTGACCTTTGATAACGAGGTCATCAAAACACTCCAGTGCCTCAGACAATTATCCAAACTAAACTTGTGAAGATAATAGGTTATATATGAGACACACTTGGTCAAAAGTCTTGATATAAATTTTCTCCCCCCTCGCAACCACCCCTGTCCTCCCTCCCCTCTACCCCTCCCGGACACCCCCACCGTCCCCCCCCCAAAAAAAAAGATGAAATTTAGTGGTGTTCAGACTAATCCACCAGAGACTCACACACCCTTGCTATGCCCTCGCTGCCAACTATGTCGCTGTACTGTTAGGCTCAACATAGGTGACAAGATGAAGTATTTTGTTCGTGTAGAGTTTTGGGCAAAATTCCCTGGAAAAACTGACCAATACAATACCTGGAATCATTTACTTGGGGGGTTAGGTTAGGTAAGGAAGTTTGTTGGTTAAGACATATATATACTCAGACGTTTCTTTATATTATAGAGAATAAATATTATAAACACATTGACATTAAATTATTACAACATTTAAATTTCTTTACATCTCATCAGCGTTCAAGAAGTTGCCATGGTAACGTCTGGGAGGTGAGTCGCAGTTGCCATGGTAAAGTCAAAGAAATGTTATGGTTGTTATGGTAACGTGTGGGAGATATATCATGGTTGCCATGGTAACATCTGAGGGGTTGTCATGGTTGCCATGATAACACGTGGGAGGTATGTCACGGTTCTCATGGTAACGTCTGGGGGAAGCGTTGAGTCTTATAAGAAAAACTTGTAATTAGACTCCGATGGTAACCTTGCGCTGCACACACACACACACACACACACACACACACACACACACACACACACACACACACACACACTTCTATAAAATCTGTATCATAGGCAGGTACAAAATATAAGACCACTATAACTGAAGAGACAGATAACATGACAACTGTAACTCAAACTACAGATAATATAGCAACCTGACGCAGCCAACTGGACCATCTGGTGAATATTTTGATACTTAACTGATCTTGAGAGAGAGAGAGAGAGAGAGAGAGAGAGAGAGAGAGAGAGATTCATATAACGTATCCCTGTGGCCTCTACACTAAGTCATGACCAAGAATGCACATAGCTCAGTTTTTACACGAGGTTACCGAGTATGGCTTATAGTGGGTGATGTTTGAGTTTATTTTGATCTTAAGGATGTTATTTGGAAGAGTGTGGTGAGAGGTGGTAGTAGTGATGGTGGTTGAGGAGGAGGAGGAGGAGGAGGAGTGGTGGTGGTGGTTAAGGAGGGAGAGGAGGGGGAGTGGTGGTGGTGGTGGTGGTTGAGGAGGAGGAGGAGAAGGAGGGGGAAGGGGAGGAGGAGGAGGAGAAAAACAATAAATTACTCTTCTCCTTTCTGGAAGAGAGACAATACTAATGATGCACGAGGTCCTCCTTAAAACACACAACACAAACTTCAAAGAAAACGAGAAGATCTACCACCTTCTCCCCAACTAATTTCTCCCCACCTCCTCCCCCTCCTCATCCTCTTCCTACCCACTCGCCCTCTCCCCCTTCCCCACTCTCTCCTTTCCCCCCCTCTCACCGTCACCACTTCCCCTCACTTTCACCATTCCCCTCTCCTTCCTCCACCCACCTCCCCTCCCCACCTCCTCCCACTTCCTCTCGCAGCTGGGGATACAAAAATCTCAGCGTGGGTCTTATCAGCTACCAGTATTCTCAAAAGACATGTAGAGTAAAAATTTTCCTCGTATGTTAATTTCCCACAACAAATGATACGACAACTCATCAAACTGCCTTATTACACAAACATGAATTCTCAGAGAGTCTTCAGCCCCCGCCTCTTCCTCCTAAATGGCGTTGTGAGGAAGTATCTAACCACATCTTTTAAACTACGACATAAATACGGATTCTTAAAGGTTCGTAAGTTATTGTTCCCCACCGTTGTAACGTAGGGAATAAGTCATGAGAATAATTTAACGTAAGAATCTTTGAAAAATCAGGTATTGAGGTTTACTGTGTGGAGTGTTTATGAGAGAACGCGATATAGTGGTACAGTTTTAGGGTCTCCTGAAGATTAGACACCCAAGAGAGAGAGAGAGAGAGAGAGAGAGAGAGAGAGAGAGACACTCCAGTCATGCCGGCACGCGCCCCACCAGTCACATGCTCAAAACGCGGCAGGAGGGAGGGAGGGAGGGAGGAGACGGGTGGCGGGGAAGGCGGGGAGAAGGAGTGGAGAGATTGGAGGTAGGGGGATATGAGGAGGAGGGATAAGGGTAAAAGAAGCCCGGTAGGGGAAGGAAAGAGGAAAGAGGAGACGTGGGGAAGAGTGGGAGGAGGAGGAGGAGCCGTAAGGAAGAGTGGGAAGAAGAGGAGGCATGGAGAAGGGTAAGAGGAGGAGGCATGGAGATGAATAGAGGAGGAGGTGGCGTGGGGAAGAGGAGTTGCGCATGGGGTAAGGGGGGGGAAGGGAAAGGGAGGGGGGAAGGGAAGGGGAGGAGAGAGCCAGGTGACTAGGGGGACGGAGGGGAGGGTGGGGAATCTCCCAGTGTGACGCCATTTTCAGGTGTTCATTCAAGCAGGTGATAAGATTCTCATTACGGAAATAAAATACAGCGATAATTCCTCCAGCTCTTAAGAAAATATTAAATTAACAGCAGTATAAATAATAAACATCCTATAGACGATTACAATAATAATAATAATAATAATAATAATAATAATATGATGATGATGATGATGATGATGATGATGATGATGATGATGATGATGATGATGATGATGATGATGATGATGAATGATGATGATGATGATGATGATGATGATGATGATGATGATGATGATGATGATGATGATGATGATGATGACGAATGTCTTTGTTTGAGAAGTAACAACAAACATCTTATATTATACGATGTTACAAAGAACAGAACGACTAATTTACCTGTTCAAACTCTCTGTTACGCTCGGGTCAGCTACCAGGACGAGGCGTGTTGTGAGGGCCGAGTACCTTGTTTACACACACACACACACACACACACACACACTCTCTCTCTCTCTCTCTCTCTCTCTCTCTCTCTCTCTTTCGTTTCTTCTCTCTCACTCGCTCTCACTCCCTCGATTCCTCTCCTTCTTCACCCCTTCCTTCTTTTCCTTTCCCCTCCCTCTCTAACCTTCAATTCTTTCTTCGTTCTCCTTCTTCCTTCTTCCCTCGCTTCCTCTCTTTCACTAACTTTGCCTCCCTCTTTTTCTCCGTCCCTCCTCCGTCCCTCTTCCTCTCCCTACCTCCCTCTTCTCACACCCTCTCCTTCCCTCTCACCACACTTCCTCTCCCTCGTTTCCCTTACCCACCCCTAACTCTTTCTTTCCCATAGCCTAATTAGTCTTCAATTAGAATATGACGTCCAATGTATATGAGCCACTGTCTTGCATGGCAGTGAACAGTGACATCACCCACATGAATCTGACCTATATATACTGTTAATGAATATGGTGTATTTCTTCGTGTATGAACCTCTGTCCTGCGTGGCAGTGAACAGTGACATCACCCACATGAATCTGACCTATATATACTGTTAATGAATATGGTGTATTTCTTTGTGTATGAACCTCTGTCCTGCGTGGCAGTGAACAGTGACATCACCCACATGAATCTGACCTATATATACTGTTAATGAATATGTTGTATTTCTTTGTGTATGAACCTCTGTCCTGCGTGGCAGTGAGAAGTGATACCACCCTCAGTGTCAAGACCTGACTGAATTACTCAGAATAGGCAAACTGTACTCCAAGCTTTGTCAATAAATTTGTTAAACCCAAACAAAAATTTATAGCCTCTTCTTTTAAGTAGAAATTCATACATATACTTAATAAGTACATCAAACACTTATAACTGGAAAACTTCGGTGGTAAACACTTAACACTTAAATATGTGTATGTACTTTATCTGTTAACACCTGTTCATACGTTCTTGAACTATATGATGAAACTTCCTAATTTAACCCAAAGTAACTTACCCGAAACAAGACCTACGTTACTTAACTTAAGCTAACCTAAACCAACCTAACCTAATCTAACCTAGCTTAATGTAATCTAACCTAACTTAGAATAATCTTACCTAACTTAACATAATCTAACCTAACTTAAAATAATCTAACTTAACTTAATATAATCTAACCTAACTTAATATAATCTAACCTAACTTAACATAATCAAACCTAACTTAACATAATCTAACCTAACTAACCTTACCTAATTTACCTCACATCACCTACTGTTAGTCTTATCCATAGAGATGATAAACACAATTTGGCTAATGTTAATGCAACAAACTGTGAGTAATGCTTAAATATGTTTAAAATGTTTATATAAAGAGGTCGGGAGATGTTTGGACAAAGATATCTTGTAAATGTTTATGGAATGAAACTTTATGGAACAAAATTATTATTAATGTTTATAGAACGAAACTATCATGTATATAGAATTAAACCATAATGTTTATACAACGAATATATGTTTATGCAAAGAAAATTTACATAATGTCTATAATTCATAACTTTCGTAATGTTTATTAAACGCCATTATAATGTTTATGAAACGAAACGGTGCCTAATGTTTATACAATGAAGCTCGGGTTAATAACATTCATCTCTCATACAATGCTTAATGAAGCTTTATACAAATGTTTACAGAACGAAAACTGATGGATAATTATATTGGGGAAGTTAACGAACGATTAGATGAAAAACTGATGAAGGTTTATATACAGAGACCTGATGAATGTTTGTACTGGGAAAACTGGAGAATGTTTGAATGAAAAATAGGTGAATATTTATAGAGCCAATTTATGAATGTTTACAATGGGAATACTGAAGAATGTTTACATAACTTTTACTGATAAACGTTTATGGAAATAAATCTAAGTTTATATAGCAAAAT